AAAGAAAATGTCACAAAAGCAAGTCTTTTATCAGATGCTGCAAAATTGTATGACCCACTAGGTTGGCTGGCGCCTGTCACAATTCAGGCGAAAATATATTTCCAAAAGTTATGGCTCGAAGGCATCGATTGGAAAGATGAGGTTTCTCCAAACATGAAAAATAACTGGAATTCTTACTTAAAAGAACTAAAAACGATAGAAAATGTTTCAATACCTCGCTGGGTTGGCAGTTCCAAAAAATCTATCGTAGAACTCTACCTCAGCATTCGCTGCTGCTGTATTTATCAAAGTTTTAAATGCGAACGGAGAAGGTGTAGTTAACTTACTACAGTCAAAAACCAAAGTTGCCCCACTAAAGGTTTTATCTGTCCCTAAATTGGAATTATGTGGAGCAACACTTCTAGCTAAACTTGTCCATAAAGTTCAAAATATGCTGGAGCTAAACATTGAAAACACATTTTATTGGACAGATAGTATAACTGTTTTATGTTGGCTCAGAGGAGAATCTTCAAAATGGAGCGTATTTGTTGGAAATCGAGTGAGCGAAGTCCAACGGTACTCTAATATTTCTCAATGGCGCTATGTCTCTACAAACGATAACCCTGCTGACTGTGCTTCCCGTGGTATATCATCTGCTGACTTAGTTGCTCATCCTCTTTGGTGGACAGGTCCACTATGGCTCTCTCAAGCTCCATCTAGTTGGCCCAAACAACCAGAGAACTCCTACGAAACCAGTCTCGAAATGCGAAAGTCTGCATTAAAAGTAAACTCATCTACTGTCTCGGAATATCCAGAATTGCTCACGGCATATTCCTCTCTTACGAAATTAATTCGCATCACTGCTTATATCCTGCGTTTTCTCCAATATAAGAAAGACTCGAAGGAACGATTGTCTGGCTATCTCAGATCTTCCGAACTGAAGAAATCGCTGCAGAAATTAATTACTCTGTCTCAAGATGTGGATTTTGGACTCGAAATTCAACAGCTACGAAAGGAAAAAGGCGTTCATTCCAGTAGCAGAATTGCTCAACTTTGCCCATTTCTCGACGAAGATGGTCTACTTCGTGTTGGAGGACGTCTACAAAAGGCTAAGTTTCATTATGAATTTAAACATCCTATTATTTTGTCGAAACAAAACCCATTGTCTCTTTTAATCTTTACAGATGCCCATCTGAAGACTCTACATGGCGGCCTTATTCAAATGCAGGCGTATGTTACTCGAAGGTTTTGGATACTTTCTGCCCGCAACCTGGCTAAAAAAGTGCTACGCAGCTGTATTACTTGTTTCAAGTACAAGGCCAAGTCATCTCAGCAAATAATGGGAAACCTGCCATCGGTACGAGTTCAACCTACTCGAGCATTCAAGCACAGTGGTGTTGACTACGCTGGCCCAATAACCATTAAGCAATCGACAGCTCGAAATTCAGTTATGACAAAGGGATACATCTGCCTCTTTGTCTGTATGGTCACCAAAGCGCTGCACCTTGAAGCTGTCACCAGTCTTTCTACTGACGCTTTCATTGCCGCATTTAGACGATTTACCTCACGGCGAGGCATGTGCTCTGACCTATATTCAGACTGCGGCACAAACTTTGTTGGCTCTAACAAAGAACTCAAAATACTTCAAAGAAGAAGCATTGAATCGCTACCGGAAGATCTAGCAAACCTTCTCGCTAACAGTGGCACAAATTGGCATTTTATACCACCCGCTTCGCCAAACTTTGGAGGTCTCTGGGAAGCGGGTGTAAAATCTACAAAACACCATTTGAAACGCATTATGGATAGTCGAATCCTAACCTATGAGGAATTGTCCACTCTCTTGACTCAAATTGAAGGATGTCTTAATTCCAGGCCGCTTTGCCCCATTTCAACTGACCCAGCAGATTGTGAAGCCTTAACTCCATCCCATTTCCTGGTTGGAGAGCCAATTTTATCTGTCCCAGATGAAAATCTATTAGACCACAATATAGATAGGCTTTCCCGCTGGAAAGTAGTTCAGTTGCTCAATCAACAGTTTTGGAATCGCTGGAAAACTGAATATATCAACCGTTTACAATCTCGCCCAAAATGGCTCAAACCTCAAAAGAACGTTGAAGTTGGCGATTTGGTCATCATATTTGACGAACGAGTTCCCCCAGGTCAATGGCCACTAGCCCGAATTACAGAAGTCCATCCCGGTGCTGATGGAAAAGTCCGAGTTGTTTCCCTGAAATGCAGTGGTAAAATCTATAAACGTCCTGTCTCTAAAGTTGCACTTCTGCCCCAACAACAAAACTTTAATTACGCAAATGATCCTGAAAAGAGTTGCTGTGAGCCGAGGCACAGCGTGGTTAGCTCGGAAACCAAATAAAACACCTCTCAAATCTGCCCCAATCTATGTCAAGAACAGTTGTTCTTTGTGCGGGGGAATGTTGGAGAATCAACGATTATTTATTTACTATTTTATTTATTTCGATTTTATTCTTTAATAATTTATTATTTATATTTATTATTTTTCCCTTATATTACCATTCTAATATGGCATCCCTATTTTCTTCCCTAAACTGTCACCAACTGACATCCCTAATTTTGTTAATATTCTATTTTTGCCTATTCCCTTTTTCTAATGCAAATAATTCAAGGTCATAATTTGGCAACGTAGCACGGACAGTGATCTTTTTTACTGTCTCTGTTACGTTATTCTTTGTTATTGTTGTTGTTGTCGCTGCATTGTTTATTTACTAAACATAATGCAGCGACGTCGTAACAAAGGTAATAGCGAAAGCAGAGACAGTAAATAAGATCAATGCCGGCTTGTTATGTTTTTTTATTTGCATTAGTTTTTAGTTCTGTTTACATATTCTGCCGTGCTGCATTAAACCGATCTATTAAACAAATTATTTTACTGCCTTGCTGCAAATGAGCTTAACTCGATTTTTGTTAAATTAATTAAAGTTAAATTAGTTATAATATTAATAATTATTGATTGTCCCATCCGGAGCAGAAATATTTACAAGTTATATTCAATTATAATTTTTTGTGAAATAAAGTTGCCCTGAGACAATTTAAAATTTTAAAGGAAAACTTTTTGTGTTTTTTTTTGCGCTGGCTCAAGGAGCCAAATATTCTCATACCAATAATATAATATAATATAATATAATATAATATAATATAATATAATATAATATAATATAATATAATATAATATAATATAATATAATATAATATAATATAATATAATATAATATAATATAATATAATATAATATAATATAATATAATATAATATAATATAATATAATATAATATAATATAATATAATATAATATAATATAATATAATATAATATAATATAATATAATATAATATAATATAATATAATATAATATAATATAATATTGTTAGGGAGAAGAGGAAAATAAAAAGAACGGTGCTTTTTTGTTCGATGTAGAACGGGAACTAATTTTATTGAATTTCTTTTCTTAACTCTAAACCTTACACTAGAGTCATAAAACTAGACAATACATTACACATACATTGAACGAAATGCTTAATATATTTGGGTTGGGCGACATTTATTATCTTTATTTACGATAACCCAAAATAAACACGGACAACAAATATCCTAAGTGCATTCTAAAAATAATAATGTTTAAACGCATCGTGTGTGGCGACATCATTTTCATTCTACCTACGCACTGCTTATCTACAATGCAGGCCTGCACACACACTGCGTGAAGGTCATAAATAACATATTTTATGATACTCTCTGTAAAAACAAATATTTTCTTTGAACTAATAAAATCATTTATCTAACTCCAAAATTAACCACACGTACAGTTCACTAAACTGTACAGACTGCGGGCCTTAAAAGATTCTAATCTTTTAATAAACTAACTAAAATCGGTTTTACAAAATTTACATATTATTACATATCGTTTTGAATGACATTAATTTAAAAATCTTAGGTAGTACATTTTTTAGACTGTAGTAAGTATTCTAAGCTATTATTTGACATAGTTACGACAATATATTATCAATACCCTATCTAAGTTGAGGAAGGGCTATGGAGACAGGCAGGTACCGGCTGGACAAATGGTATAACTTTCTGACGATGGTGAACAACACAGCTACGATACCAATGATGAAAATGCATGTTGTAAAACTGAAACCATAGTGTGTCAGATGATGTGAGTCAAGGTGAACTGGGAACCCGAAGAACTGCTTCACTTGCGGTATGTCTGGCAGCTTGTAAATTTCGATGTCCTTTTTTAGTTGTAGATGAGTGAGCGGTGGGATCGATTCGGACATATTGAATGTAGGAAATATGTAGTTAACCTCACTGGTGTAGATTTCATGCGCCCATAATTTCATCTCTTCAGTTTCTAGCGTACAGCCCGGATCCATGTTCAATAACCCCTGGTCTCGAATTTGTATTTTCTGTCGGATGCCATCGCATTTGACTTCTGTGATGGTACCTTTCGTGATCGAGAATATCCATGAGTTCGGCACACGTAGTTGTTTCCAGAAGTTATGAAATTTGGTGATTGCGAATTCACAACTCTCTGGGATCACTCTTGGTCTTACGAGCAACCTAACTTCGCATTCAGACGATTCTCGGATGTTGTACACCGGATGTGTTTGCTTGCATATCGTCAAATCTGCCACCTTTTGACATCTGGCAAATTCTTCTTCCTTCAATGCATAAAATAACGTCTTCCGGTCATCGAGCAGTATCAAATTGTTTTGGATTCTCAGCTGCACGGATAGGTCATCTTGTATGATTGGATACGAGTGGATAGCGTAGGCGGTGAATTGATCGACATTGATCAGCGGGAGTCGGATGTTGAACAGCAAATACTCTTTGGTCGTTCTTGTTGTGACCTCGGCGACCTTTGCTAGCTCGATTGGAGATTCTGTTGGCAGATGCAATTTCTTTCCAACCGATGTGTTGATGATTTTGATCTGCTTCTTAAATTCCTTCACGGGAAGAACATCATGTAGGAAACTTCCCCTTATGTTGACCATTACGCCGATCAGATTCTTTTGAATGCTATCCACTTCTTGGACAGCAGTTAGAAGTTCGGCGATCCGTGCTAGTATTCGGCTTCTGTTATCTAGCACGCTGATTTCCTTCTCTACCGATAAGAAGGCATCGCTCAGTTTCTCAATGTCCTTAAACACGGCGTTATTCTGTTCCTTGAGAATGTTTTTTGTAATTTCTTGAAGAGACGTTTGATTGTTCAACAATTCTAGTACGAACTTTTGATTATGTTCGACCATGTTGATTCTCTCCACAAGATTGTCGGCATGATCTTCATCCATCAGCCCAAACAGCGAATGAAACACACCCCCAACAAATGGTAACGCCGATCTCCTGGATCTCCGGACCGGTGCAGACGACATTATAAGGTCATGCTGATTCGTTAAGCGGTCATGGGCTTCTTGCAACCGCGGGATGCCACTCAATCCTTTCATCTGTGGCATCCTTTCGAGTTCCACGTTGAATTTCTGCATTGCCTCGTCGAACGCCTTTATCCCAGACACATATTCTTCCAAGTTCACATGCGCCACGATGTTCCATGAAGTTTTTGACAGACCAACAGCAGCCACTTCCTCGTAGAACACGCCAGCCCTATCTTGGAAATTAGTAACTTCTACTTTACATCTACTTGGACTTATAAACGAAAGCATATATAAAATAACTAACATCCAATTCTTATTCTTGAACTGACTTCTTTCTGACCTAGTCGATCTGGCCGACCTTTCCTTTATAAATAGCGTCGATTTCACCGACGTATTTTCTTCGATCTCATTTTCTTCGTCGTCGATAGGAAAAGGACAAACATTGTGGATCGATCTTTTCGTTTCCCCATTGCTGGTTCTTACGTCTATCGTACGACATAATCCATCCGAACTCATTCTAGTTCGGATGACCCTCCCCCGCCTCCAGCAAAGAGGAGGAAGGTTATCTTCTTTTAATAACACCAGCGTTCCTGGTTTAATGTTTTTGCATTTTTCAGCCCATTTATACCTTTTCTGAAGCTCGGACAAATATTCATTGGACCATTTTTCCCAAAATTCCTCAGTCCTAGCTTGTACGTCCTTCCAATGTCCACGCAACCCTTTATAACTTTTATTTATTTCGGCGTCCGTGAACGTTGACAATGATTCCCCTATCAGAAAATGAGCCGGAGTCAGAACACTAAAATCATTCGGATCCTCCGACAATGGTATTAACGGACGAGAATTTAGGACAGACTCTATCTGTGTCATGAGAGTATACATTTCCTCAAACGTCATTGTCCCTTCTGTTACTTTATACATATGCTTCTTCACAGATCGAACGCAGCTTTCCCATAATCCACCTACATGTGGTGACCTAGCCGGTATATTAACCCATTCGATATCCCTTTGAGTGCAATACCTATCAATGTCTTTCGTTAGATCACTATTCTTGAATAATTCATAGATCTCATGAAGACTGTTCGCAGCTCCAACAAAATTCGTACCATTGTCCGAATAAATTTTAAGAGGACATCCTCTCCTAGCCACAAATCGTTTTAAAGCCCCAATGAATGCTGCAGCTGTCAGATCTGCCACTACCTCTAAATGCACAGCCTTCGTCGCAAAACACACAAAGACGCATACATATGCCTTGTCAGTCCGCTTACCTTTGATTTTGTGATGAATAGTAATTGGACCCAGAAAGTCAATACCCGTATTTAAAAATGGTCGAGTCCTAATAACCCGATCTTCTGGAAGATTCAACCTAAAACACCTATAGCATTTACTTACCACTTTTTTGGCCAATAACCTTCCACGTAGCAGCCAGAATTGTTGCCGGAATATAGCTAATAACCCTTGTGGCCCAATGTGCAACTTTTCCAAATGCAGCTCTTCCATCATTAATTCCACCACTCTGTTTTTGTATGGAAGAAGCATAGGATGTTTTGCCTCGAATGATAAATTACTATTCTGCAGTCGTCCTCCTACCCTCAGAAGACCCTCAGAATCTATAAATGGGCATAACGTCCTAATTTGCGAAGATTTTCATAATATGTTCCCCTTCTTTAGAGCTGATATTTCTTGCGCAAAGTTTTCCCTCTGTATGTCTCGAATTATCATATGAAGAGCCTCCCTTCTATAAGTCACAAATGACTTCCCAGGACCCTTCCTGGCTACATTGAACAAATTTTAATACCCATGCCATGACATTTCTTAAAAACGAAAATTTATTCCGGTGGCGTATTTCTATCCACACTGGTA